ATTAAAAGAGAGAATGGCCTTATCACGACTACTCTACATTTTAATTCGTGATTTGCTACAGTCGGCTGGCGCTATTAATTTAGCCCGGTTCATTACTTCAATGCGTGATCGAAGCTGAGTTTACTTGCTAATGCATCCGTTCGTCTGAATTATTTTCTGCTTATCGACGCCGAGTGATGGCTAACGCGTACATCCCTTTCGGGCCACCCTCTGGTTGGCAAGTGTCTCACGTAATGATGTCCTGACGCGTGCCGTTTCGCAGCATGGGGTCCTCGCGATGGTCCGTCTGCGACTTAACTATTTATTACCAGCGGATAGTCAAAGAATGGGCTACTGGGCCAGTCTCTTACGCACGTATTATGCGGCAAATAAGTCATGCGTTTCCGAGGGATAACGCGTATATTCTATCCCTTCTCCCTCGCTTATTTGCCAAGATTAATTGGCTTACGGACAACCCCTGATAATAGGGATCGTCGGGATTGTGGGAATCTACGTGTGAATCGTAGCTACCACATCTAAGTATCTCTTGATCTGAATAATCGTGTGTATCGAGTAAATGCGAGATAAATTTTTACTGTTAGTAAACTACAATATTTACTTGCTCGTATTTTTAAAGTGAACGTAATCAGAGTTGATATTTCAAGTAATTATATTCTAATTATTACATCGGTGCGGCTAATACATTTTTTTTACCGTACTGCAAAAGATTATCAAAAAAGTTACAAAAGTAGGAAACTTCTTAAAAATTTCATCACTCTTTTAGAGTTTTATGTACAAATAAAGAAAAAGTTACTTTATTTTTACATAGAGATATAAAAATTGTAATCTTTTTATTTCTGTTACTCAACATCTCATACAGTGTATAGAGTTTTGTCATACTTAACACTTTTCAATTATTTTGATTAATAAATTACGGTATTTGTGACTTATTTGCAATGTACCATGTTATTGTTCGCAAGGAGAAATTCCTTCTATTTGATGTTACAATATATTATACCAGGAATCATTGATAATTTTGCAGAACTATGTAATGACCGTTTACACATTCGCGCACAGTCCGATAACGCTGGCGCTAATAATAACACGAAAATTATACAGCCGTAAATTATTTAGGTATTTCATTATATCCCCTGATATTGCGCTTACGCCACATTGGAGTCATCTTTCCTGTGCATAATATCACGTTACCACAAGTAATGAGATTTCACTGCATATCGCCATTATCATTCTATTAATACCTGTGTACGCACAATGCAATTCTATCCTTTTACGTTTTAGAGCCTATATTATTTAAGACTTTATTTAAACCTGTCACGCGTTCTATATCATTCTATACATAAAGATAACTTTTATGTAAAAGTGATAGAAGTTATCGTTATTTTTCAAGTGAAATCAATATTGATATTTGTATATCACTCATTACCGATGTCCTCGGACGACTTAATTTGCGTTTGCAAAGATCTCTAAACTCTTTTTGTGTCAGGTTTATTTTCCAGGTGAGATAGAATATAAACGTCACACTATATTACGAAAAGCTAATTTGGCTCAAGATGAAATGTAGGAGATTATTTCATCGGCTGTCTCACATTTTGCATTCTGTGATCGGGTAGTCCGTCGGTTCTATTTGAGGGCTTCGAATTCCGGCGACAGGGTGGTATGGGATACGAGAGCTCGTAACGATGTGCTGGTGTTGTCGCTATGCCATACCGTGTTTTACAAAAAATCCTTCAGAAATTACGCCATCGATCTATGGAGTAGACTATCACCAGACGTTACATCTTTGATTAGAAAAAAGTTTTTTGACTACTTGCTTACAGTTAATACCTACTTACTATACTTTTATGTAGTGTATGCGATCTTTACATTCTTATTTTTATCTGAATCTTTGGCTTCTTGTTTTCAAGGTACTTTATTCTTATGTTATTTTAATTTAATTTTATTCTTATCCTACCTCATTATTATCAATTTTAAACGATTTATCATCATCATCATCATTAGAGTGATACTTTTCAAGTATAGTACATATAAAAAGTAATCTAAATTTAAAGTATATAAACATAGAAAAGTGTCATTTTTATTGCAATTGCACGATGCTGACAGACATTTGAAACAGTATAGATATTTGATACATTGAAGATATCTGCGAGAAACATAGTAACGAATGCATAAAGATGCATATAAAGATGCCGATGCTCGCAACAGAAGAGAAAAAGAATAAAGTTGAAAAGCATTGTCGACCAAGTTCGTAAAGGAGGATCAATGATGCTCTGTGCGGAGGTGTCGTTTCGCAGCATTGAGATTGGAAATCGGGTATCTGGATTATCCTTTGGCATCTTCTGCTATATCACGAGCTGCTGAGTTATAGCGGGGTATAAGGAAGGGGTCTGCATTGCTGAAGCAGCGGTAGCAGCAAGACGCTACTAGAAGAGATCCTTTATATGATCACCTTCCTTGGTTCCGAAGGAGCGAGGAACTCCGACAGAACGCTCTCTCGATATTCTCCTTCCCTTTCCTCTTTCCTGTCCTTGCATTTCTCCACCATCTCTGTCATCTCTTCTCACCTTCCTTTTCTCCTTGTTTCTCTTGCTCCTCCTTCTTCTTCTCCTCCTCCACCTCCATACTCCCTTTATTGGCACACCCGGTATAATAAGGAACGAGTTTGTATTTAGTCGGCCATGCGCAGTACTGCCTGTTGGCGTATCATCGATCAGACCGGCGACTGACTATTGGACCAAAACAAGAGGATGAGAATGGAAATGGAGATAAAAAGAGAATACCGAGACAGAAAGTACAACAGAGCTAGTAGGAAAAGTGGGAAGAGCAAAATATATCGAAAGGATTTTTTCAGAGACTGATTCTTTGTTAAAGTAGACAAAAACAAATAGAAAATGTAAGGAGTAATAACAGACAATTTGCACGAAGACAGTTATTCTTATTTAACAAACAAAACATTCGAAATGATTTTTATTGTAATAATTTGTATATATATATTTATTAATCTACCAAATTATACAAGTTTATCATAAACTTTCACTGCAAGCTAATGATAGTGTGTTTATTAGTATTATATTTCTTGAATATCTTTATAATGGTGATTATCAGATTTTAGAAACAATTGGAAAGGACCTTGTATTAATCGTATCGCACGAAATAAAGTAATAGTCGAAGAGTTAATCGAAGGTTAAAAATTGCTGGTATTGTTTGTTTCTTTTATTTTAAATCTGCACAAAGGATATATATACACTATATATATATGTATAATAAATGATAAGATAGGATGACACTATCCTAAGGATAATTGGAGATCTCGTTACTTCCCACTGGTGACTTCAATTTAGGATCGACGATAATGAGATATCGAATCCTGATCCTCTATCTCCGGGTTTCTCCTTTCTCTCTCTCTCTCTCCCCCTCCCTCCCTCCCCCTTTCTGTCTTTCTCTCCCTTTCTTTTTCATTACCCAGCATTTCATCAGATGATGTTTCATAGCTTTTTTGGTTTACGTCCAAACAACATGAATGCAAATTGTGTGTGTGTGTGTATTTGTTGAATTGTTAAATCTCTCCTAGCACTTATTAAAACATTCTCTTACTTTTTAACGTGATAGTACCAATGATGTTATCATGTCTTGATGAAGTAATGAGAAACCATGATCTGTTCGTTTATGGATTGGCGCGATATAACTGATAATATACATGTTTTAGATGATCTCTTCTCTTTAAAAATACAAGAATAATATATTTTATTTTTTCAATTAAATTGATTTTTATTGAATGATTATTGTTTGAATTTTATTGATTGATTCTTACTGAATTGAGAGAAAAGTATATTTGGTGAAGATGTTTTGTTTAATAAACTGTAACGCGCGAACATTAATTTAGACCGATATCTTTGCGTGTAAATTTTCTGATCCTCTATCTCCGTGAAAACCTACATGTTCGTTGAAATATAAGCGGAAGATAATTTCGGGGTAACAGCTTAAATTGACAGGGCGACGCGTTCCCATTCATTCAAATTACGCACCAATTCTGTCGGTGACTTTGGCATTGTTGCTGTAAATTGGTCCACGCCCTAGCCTGCGGCCTCCCTCTTCTGCGAGGAGTATACGTGCTTACGGAACGAATGCGTGTGTCCAGTTTTTCAAATAATATTCTGTGTGCAATCATTATATATGTCACATTCAAAATGTTTATTTACTCAGTAAATGTATACACTTACTGTAGTCTGCTGTAGTCAACGTATGTATTTGCTATACGTATATATTGACTAGTAAGTGTATACATTTACTAAAATTAACACTTTAACTGTAACATATACATATATACAAAATATTCCATAAGTGTAATTTCTTTAAACTGTAAATTTATTGATCAAATTTAAATGTAACTTTTTTGTACAGTTATGTTGTAGCAATGTAGCATTTACAGCTTTTTTAAATTATAATTAAAATATAATTAAAATAAAAGAATTTTTTTTAATTAAAAACTTATAAGAAATAAAATTTATAATATATGTATAAAATCTGTTAAACAATTTTTCTGATAAAATATGTATAATGCTTGTTATTTTTTTTTTGAAACAATAATCTATTATATGCAAGCATATTGGAGAACATGACACGTGTCTTCACTACAGGAGGTCAAATAAGGGGGTTTGTGTTAACAAGTAATTTAAAGTATATAAAAAATAGAATAGAAATTTTTGACGAGGTCGTTTGAGCACGATAATTAACTATAAAACAGCATTGTGGCACGTGTCATACGAGCGATGATTGGATGAAGTAACTGATCATCTAGTCTAGAACTATCATAATAATTTTCTATTTAAAGATGATAGTGTAAGCTAGAACATATTAATGTATCAAATTGTAAAGTATTCACATTTTTGTACAATCTCTTTAATTTTGATATGTAAAAAATCAATAAGAAAGATTAAACCTTTTTTTATGTATAAAAAAATAATTTTTACATTCTTTTCACACAAAATGTAAAATTGTTTCAGGTTTGGTTTCAAAATCGGAGAGCAAAATGGCGCAAGACAGAGAAGTGTTGGGGCAGAAGTACCATAATGGCAGAATACGGTTTATATGGAGCGATGGTACGACATTCTTTACCACTTCCGGAAACGATTTTAAGAAGTGCCAAGGAAAATGAATCCGTTGCACCGTGGTTGTTAGGTAAGAGAGAAAACATTTCTGATACACAGAAATCTTACATTAATAGCTCTGACAATTTAAATATGTAACTTTTTTTTTAATGTCTCTTTTTAAACTTAAATCTAAAATTATTAATTATATTTACATCCAAGTATATATATAATACATCTCTCTCTCTCTTTCTCTCTCTCTCTCTCTCTCTCTCTCTCTCTCTCTCTCTCTCTCTCTCTCTCTCTCTTTCTCTATCTCCCTTCCTTTTTCAAAATAGATAATAGACAATTAATAATGATAACTCTTCGTACGACAAGAGATAGATTATTTAATGTCTACGAAAATGTGTGTGTGCGTGTGTGAATGTGCGTAGGTCTAAATATAAATAAATATAACGTAATGTTCATATATATAATAGATTTTTATTATTTATTGATTATCTTTGCATAACTAGACATTAAATAATTCTAAATTGTATTTTCATATTTAATTAAAGTAAATATATTAGTCCATTTGATTGCTATTAAAAATTGGAAAATATTCTATCTTTCTGTTCCGATAAAATCATTTAAGCTAAAGCGGCGGAACAAATTCCGAATATTTTTTCTGTTGGTTTTTGTCAGCTCAATCATCTAAGACAAGCAGCTTTAACCAAGATTTCGAATATAATCAAGAACTGATTGACTGTGGACCTGTAGGGATGCATCGGAAATCGCTCGAGGCAGCAGAGCATCTCAAATCTGGCGGAGAGGACAGTGGCAATGATCAAAACGGAAGCGGAAGCAGTCCCCACCATAATCATCATCAAGGAGGACCAACCAGTTCGGAGAGTGGACAGGAGAGCCAGGATGGTATGGGACCTTCGTCATCTACGAGTAAGTCTCATTCTATTTAGATAACATATAAATTTCATATATATTATTTTATAAAAAAATTTATATAATAAATTATACTTTAAAACAAAATAAAAGTTTCAATATTGGCACAACGATGGAATTTACAAATCAAGCAAATTGCATTAAAATATTGATAAATTTTCTGTAAACACACTCTTTTCTAACTTTATTAATACTCTTTATTTTGAATAAATTTTTAAGACACAATAAGAAAGTATAACTTTTAATAATATATAATACAATAATACAAACAAAATAAGAAAATTTAATAAATAATAATTAATAAAAGCTAGAAAAATTTAAGATCTCCTTTCTAAATCTTTGGAGTGAAATTTCACTTCAAAAGAATGAAAATTGACTACTATTGTTGAAGAGTGACAAGTTTTCACTTTTTTTTCAAGACTGGCTCAATTTTCACTCCAAAAAGAATTTAATAAAGAGAGGGTATCTATTTAAAAAATTCAAAACTATCGACATTTTACAAAGTACTGCAGATATATCAGGTACAATGACACGTATTATTATGTTTACAGGTGTTGTGCAGGATACGGAACAACTCAGAAACGAAAGTATTGCCTGCTTAAGAGCGAAAGCACAGCAGCATCAATTGCAATTGAGTCTGCAACCAACATCGACGCCTCCAAGTGGGTCGTATCCGTCGGCACAACAATCCAGCACGCTACACACTTCTGTTTAATTGTGAAAATACTGACTCTTTTTCTGATACTTCCGTGTCTGATATTTTTGCTGTTGATACGGAAGCACGTGTCCTGCCTGGCAGACTGTCGTAGATGAATCGGCAGCACCGATTTTTAAATTAGTGATATTTTTTTAATAAATATCTTGGCAAAGAGATCGATCCTTTTAAAATATAAGGATCTTTCTAAGATCCCTTCTAATTGATATCACAGTCAGACTGCAGCAATGGCATCGATTGAACAAATTTCTCGCGGGAAAGGATCTCGAATTGTTCTGGCATACGATTCCAATGTTCTACGTTCCTCGCGTCGCCTTCAAACGCAGTTTGTGAATTTTAACAACCGAAATTATCTGCAATGCAGTATTAATTGTGAAGCCCGAAGATATATACAAGATATATATATATATGTGTATATATATATGTATATTCACATAAAATTACAACGAAGCATGACGAACTAATTGATCGAGTGCTTGATTTGCATTATATAGATCTCGCGTAACAATCAAGCAGGCCTATAAATCAATATGGATTTACTTAATCCTTCGCAACGACTTGACATACAATGATAAAGACGCTGTTTTCATGTTTCGGCGTTTAAAAAAAGTAAAATGCCGTCAGAAAACACCGTCGAATAAACAAATAAAGTTAATTGTTAAGCTTAATACTTATCAACGAAATAACAGCCTATTGGTCTGTATAACAAACAAGAAAAGATTATCTGTCTGGAAATCCTGTCGTTGACGAACATAAGCAAATATTAAAAGAAAGTTATTTCTAATAAAAAAAAGTTATCGATGAACAAGGCTTGATTTTTAGTCCGATCGATAAGTTTAATAGATCGACAAATCGAGATCAAACGGAACTACCTAATTAGAATATAATTGCTTTTAAAGCTTGATTTTGTGTATGCATGCATTATTTGTGCGTGCGTGCGTGCGTGTGTGTGTGTGTGTGTGTGTGTGTGTGTGTGTGTGTGTGTGTGTAAACGCGCGCTTGTGTGTGGAGGGAAATGTGTGTGCGTACACAATTGAAACTGAGAGTAAAGCGTGATAAAAAAAACTTGAAGATTTTGTCTTCAGAATGTTAACCTGCAACGAATGTTGAACAACGCAATGAATAAAAGAAATAAAAAGGCAGAAAGAGAGATTGTGGAATGCGTAGCAAGATTACAAAATATAAATACACATCGAAGAGAAGCGAACTTAAAGACCTGTACACACTTGAAAAACTTCCCTAAGATTTACAAGTATAAAATAACATGCAACCATCGAAAGTTAATTCGATTGTTAAACTCATGTGTATGGGTATAAGAGAGATGATATGCATGTGTACGTCATATAAAATAAGGGAGGGAGAGAGAGAGAGAGAGAGAAGAGGGTGCAAGTCAAAGATTTATTTAGCGAAGACTTCCTATATCCTGGTACTTAAAGAGAAACGTAACTGTTGTCAAATGTGCAATATATCGATATAAGTTCTATACTGATAAGATATTATTATACTTTAGTAACGGATACATCTACGTAAGGCAGCTACAACGTCGGTGTCTCGTCGGGTGATTGTTATAAAGAAATTTTACAATATGTCTCTTAAGATTGTATGAAATGAAAGTTGATGGAATATTGCACATCTAATCCTTATACTTTCCATTTTTGCTGCGAGTAAACTTATCCCCGCGTTACACCGTCGTTTCGGGACGTCCGCCTTCTGTACATAAATATATAAATAAAAAGTATATATATATATATACATATGCGTAAATATAAAAAGATGACTAAAATTAAACGTGATTGCGAGATATCCTGAGCCGGACAAAAATTTTTTCGTAAGTATAAATAGTCGAGAATTTTTATAATTATTATGCAATATATATGATTAAAAAAACTTTTGTATATTATTTAATTACTAAATTTCTGCAAAGCATTGTAAAATATAAAACAAAATAATAGATAACTTTAATTTGTTATCTTTTTAATTATTTATTTAAAGTGCTTGCTGAAAGTTGTTTGACTCGATGTGGAGTCATTATCTACGTATGTTGTTTGTTTATTTTAAATGTTGAACACAAATATTACATCTGAGCAATCAAGAGACTATAAAAAAATTTATTTAACTCTTAAAACACCAATTTAGTAAGGAAATATTCTTACTGATATTTCATTACTATTAAATTAAAAATATGCAAAGATGGTGTAAAGATTATTCAGATCATAATTTTTTTCGAGCGATGCATTTCGTCTGGCTTAGATCTATCAAGTTGTACACGTAACATAACATATTATAATTTAAAAGATTCGATCATGGGAAATGAAGTAACCATACATTCTTTAGAAAAGAAGCAACTTAAGAGTCATAATGAAAGTGACACCGCTGTTATTGTGAAAACATTTGATGATGGACTTTGGATCTACAGCGAATTCTCTGTATCCGAATGTTCCAACGCATGCATAGTAGTCGGCTAGTATACGTAATAAATAAAATTTCTGAACAAGTATGTTTTTATTTTCATTACCCCATTTACATGTTGTAACATTGTTTTGTAAATGATCGTATATCTGTTGCAAAATCTTGTTATGTGATATCAGCTCTCTGATATGAGATTGATATAATATATAATAATTATTTTTTAAATATCTCTCTTTATTACATTACACAATAGAAATAATACACAAAAAATATTACAGTTATAAAATACATTTTTAAAAAGAAATGTTTTCAATACAATAATTTTTCAACACAATTGTAATTTATATTTTTCACTTTGTCGAACAAGCGTCATTGATCGGTCAAATAAATCGCACATGACTCTCTTTTGTGATTGAAATCCTATGACGCTATTCCGCTTTTATATGATAAAGATGTTTCAGTAAATGTAATTATCTTTTGTGATAATTGTTAAAATGCAGGGATTATATGCAGTGTTAGAAAAGTTACTTTGTAAAACTAACTAATTATAGATATTTTTTACAAAGCCAAAACTTAATTTACGTTTTTATACGTTATAACATTTTATTTAAAAGATAGAAAGAAATCAACGTAAAACGGTAAGATATAAGCAGTATGTAAACGAATCGACCAATTGTAATAGAAAATGTAAAACAGTATACTTTATGTTCCGTACTATGACTGGCTGTTTACTTATTGTCTTATAATATTTGTACAGATAATTCGCTTTTATGGATTATCTACGATGAGAGTAATATTCAATAAGCAGTAAGCTGTAAAAAATTGAGCAATATTATAATCCATTATCATCTTTATATTCGACCGTAATTGGATAATTTCTTACGGTTTATAACTTATTACATCATACTACTTTCATTATAAACAGTTGTTTAATGGTAAAGAACCAGAAGTTTTTGTCTCCTGAATACAATCAATTTTCTACATAATCAGTAACGCCGCGCAACGCAACTATTCAGATTCTAATCAATCACATTAATGGATAAATAAATTTAAAATGAGTAAAGTAAAATGCAAAAGTAATTCAAATTACTAATTTAAAAAATGTAACTAAAATAAGTTAGAATTACAACTATAAAAAGGAAGCAAAGTTAAATTAAAGTTATATTTAAAAAAGTAATTTTAACTGTAACTTAATGACAAGTAACTAGTTACTTTTCAACTCTGGTTATATGTATAGATTTTACGAATAATTAATAATATTAGGATTTTATTTGTGGTATTTATTTAAGAAATGTAAATCAAACAAGTTTGTTCTTAAAATCATGAAGATTTCTTTTACATTTATTTAATACATTTCTTTATATTTTAATATACATATATATGTGATATTGATGTTATATAATATGTTAATTGGATATTATTGATTCTTGCAAAGTATAATAGCTATATTCCAAGAAACAAAAATACCAATGCTAAATATTTACAAAAGTACAAAAGTTTACAAAACATCGACTACTATACAGCAAACTCTTCTAATCATATTTTTTATATTATTTTATCTCTACAATCAAAAACTAACCTTAACAGCATAATTAGTTAGCATAACATAGTTTCCTAACTATCTGTCTATTGTATTCGACTCATATATTGTTTCATTAAATTAGGAAAACAGACTTTTAGTTCTTCGGAAACAGTTAACTGGCAATTACTACTTGTCTAGGCCTTTTAAATGTTCATTGTTATTGGCAGTATTATTTTATCGATTGAAAATTATCCTTTTTGATCCATGTCATTTATCAATGTATTTGAATATTCTATGAGATTTATATATTATACGAGATGTTTATAAATTTCTTATCACATTTGCTCAAGGCAAAATTATTTGATATATGAGACACAATCAGGGAATTGACATAACAGAGTTACGTCTGATACAACATAATCTTACGAGTCTTATCTTATTAGTTAAAATCCAATTAATGGACATTGTTGTCAACAAGACTTTGCGAAGTTAGTTGTGCTTAATTGCAGTCAGTCTTAATTAATAAAATGTACAAAATAATTTTTTATACAAAATAATTTTGTCTTATACGAATAATTTATTACAAATTCATACAATCATGTTATTTTTTATTAATTAAAAACGCTTTATGCGTATAAGAGATAGCTGAATTTGTATGTGTTCAAAAATACATTTGAATAAAATAATACGTGTTTAAGTTTGCATTAATGTAAAAACTTTATTTGTAAGTCGAAAATTGCTCCATTAATTTACATTGATTCTTGATTAAAACATATTGTAAATTTCAAAGATATGCTTTTACTCTTACAGAAATCTAATACTGGTTAATAATGACCGAAATATAATAATGACCGAAAGTAATTATTTATTTTAAGTATTATAAGCACTATTATTTACTACTTTTAGTACTTTAAATAAATAATTTATACTGCCTTTCAGTAATAAATTAGCTAGTCATATTTCTCATTTCTCCATGTAAAGGTACAAAGAAAGGACATTTCTTTTCAAATAAAGAAATAGTAAGACAAATTGTACATTCTTAATATGCATTATTCGATCATATGACAAT